GTAGGGAAAAGAACTCTCAAAATCTTACATGGACCATTAGCAAGGCGAGTTCTTAACTAACTTCTTTTCTTTATCCTAACCTAACAGAAAAAGATCCGAGACATTTTTGCTTCAAAGAGGAGGTTGGCAAAGGAGTACGAACAGCTAGCAATATGGTATGGAGACGCCAGCATAGAGTCTAGCCAAGACGTGCCCTTTGGCTCATGGAATTTGCAAACTGCAAGTGACTCGGAATGGGAGCTACTGTAAGTAAAAGGGTCTGGTTTCTGTAGATTACTGCAAAGAGTACAGGTTTTCATCTTTTTTTCTGCGTAACGACAGTCGTCGTATTGAACTTAGTATTTTATGATTGAGGTGCCATTTTTTTTTCTTTCTTTGGCTATAATATGGTTGAGGTAGAGTCTTTGAACTATGTGTACATGAAATAAGGCAGTTATGCAGCTGTAGCATAAATTCAAGCTCGGAAAAAGTTGGAACTACTCTTGAAATCTTTGTGGTACAAAATTAAATAAATTAGTATATTCCTGTGGCAGTGCAGGTGCAGATATGTCCCTTCTTTTGTTCCCCTCTATGGTTAGTCTATGCGAACATTGGATCAATATAATAATCATATCATAATAAATAAATAAAAGTGTGCAAATGCAATAAGATCTTATCAAGATCTGACGGTTCAAAACTTTGAAGTATCAGTAGGGTATTTTTCTTTTCGTGCCCAACTAAAGAATTCTCCTTTTCAGAAGAGGCATTTTCAAATTATAAAAGATTTTGATGATTCTTTAACAAATATGCATACAAAATCTCATTCCATGTATCAGGAACTCCTGGTAAGCACCAGTGAATGCAATCAGCAAAGTTTTTTGGATCGGATCTCTGTTCCTTTGTCAAGAGTTTTCCTCTGCGTTCCCCATACACTGATGCGTGGGCATCTTTTCGGAACTCTGACAATTGTGTGATATTCAAAAATGTGACATTGACTTTTAGTTGTGTTAAAACATCATGGATTATGTCCATGATTTCAAGACTTGAACCAGTGCCCCAGTATGATGAATCTTGGATTGGGTGTGACTCGTTAAAGCAGTTTTCATTGCTCCCCGGCCTCCATTCCCAGCTCCTACAGAAAAAAATTTAAAAATTTAATTTAAAAGCCCGAGAAAGATAAGTGTTTTTTTCTCATTAAAAATTTGAATAAAAAAATTCCCGTCATTAAATCAGAATCACTGACTTGAACATATAAACCGAAAGGTCTCTTAATTGAGCAAAGGATGCACAAATATCTACTGCTTCTCAAACCAGCTTAGGGTTCACTGAATAATAAGATACAAAGAAAAAAAGATTTGACTGGTCTTTTCAATTTCACGCCTGGGATTAGACAGGTTGTTAAGACTGTTATTCAGTTTAGGCTAAAATACTTAAATCAAACAACAACTATTGCTTTGTTTTGCAGCATTCTAGTTAATTTGGTCAGTTTTACGGGTAAATGAATGCTCTTTTTTTTTTTTGGGAGTTAAAACTTACCACAAATGTGTAGGAGACATGCTCATGAAAAAGAGCTGTTGAGTTTTTGGATCGATGCTGGATTCTATCCAATTTGCCCAAGTTTCTAATGCCAATCTGTACGCTGTGGTCACATTATATTCTTGTACATCATCTGGATGCCCATATCTAGCAAATCAAGTAAAAGAGGAAAACATTAATGAAAACACAAAGTTATAAACTTTTTATCACCCATAAGAAAAAGATCACTAACTCAGAAAAGGAAAAAAAAAAAAAAAAAAAAAAACAAGGAATGCAACTAAACTTGTTCAAATGTGATTAAACTTCAAATGTGATTTTTTTTTTGAGAGAATGAAAACTCTTGTGAATTTAACTAATGCTACGTCTTAGCATTTCTTTTTTTTTTTTTTTTGTGTGTGTGCAAGATTCATGTTTATACCTAAAGGAATTCTTATCTTCAACATGGCAATTAATTTATGAATTTAAGAGAGTTTTAGAAATGCTTTTAATAAAATGATCACAAAAACTCACGTTGCATTAAGAGTAGGCTTGTATCTCCACCAAACATAGCTCTCAAATATCAAAAAATCTACCCCTTCCCAATGTTTTCCATGCTTATCAATGGAGTCAAGCTTGACTAGCCTTTTTAATACAGTGTGGTTTGTTGCATGATCTGAAATAGACTCCACTATAAATGGTGCCCAGTAGTACTCAATTGAAGCATCAAATTCCTGGGATGGGGAAAACGGCAAATTAAAAAAAATAAAATAAAATAAACCAAAAAATTGTTGTAAAATTGGCCAAGTACTTGAAATGAAAAAGGACATGACTAATTCTTTTCGAGTCCATTATTTTCCAATCTTGAGAGAAATGTCATTTAATTTTCCTTTTCTCCCCCCTAATTATAACCTTCAAAACTTAACAGATTAATTAGATTTTGCAATATGAATTATGGGTAAATGAGGTACCTTGATTTTGAAGATCTTCCTGGGGGGTATTCTTTCAAGGGATTTCTTTCCTTCAGGTATGATGGACTGCACCAAACAGACCAAGGATTCAAACTGGCTTCTTTGCACAGAATCTCCAACAAACATGAGTCTTTTTCCCCTTAAAAGTTGTAGTAACTTCAATGGATCAAACCTAGACATCAACACATATAATTGGTCTTTAAAGTTTATAAAACTCACTTTGTTGGGGCCTAATTATTCTTTATGGCCAGTAAATCTGGCTATTATTTTTACCTAATTCATCCATATGCATGGAGAGCTTGCTTCAAACTTGTTTTTACATTTCATTTATGTGAAAGAAAGTGCTAATTACAGCACCACTAGTGTTGACAGTGCTAAAATTCAGCCCAAAAAGAAAGAGCACTGCTACTCAACGTAAGTGGTATTTTCAGGCATGCCAGATTCACTCCACTAATCCACTTATATTCTAACATTAGACACCACTGATATACTCTTTATAATATCTTAGGGGAAAAAACAACGGACTAACTCGCAGGATACACTTTTCTTAGCCAATTGAACCACTAGGGTCTCGTTTATTTCGCGGATTCGAGTTTTTAATTCGAGCTGAGATGTGACATTTTTTAAGAGCTTTTCACAGTAGCAGAAAAAGTTAGATGTGACATTTTCTAAGAGCTTTTTACTGTAAAAACCTAGAATTAAAAACTTAAATCGGTGAAATGAACATATCATAAATATAAAGTTTTTACACATTAGACGCCGATTACTGGGCAACCGACATGACTTGAAATGCCTACCACATCAATCAAACACGCTGATAGATGTGATTTGACCGGCGTTTATTGGGATTTGTGTAACAGTGAATATTTTTCTTGTATGTATATTTATCTAAATTCTAGAACTCTAAATAATTATAAAATGATATATACGCTCTAACCATAAATAGATCCAATTCAGAATTCAAACCTCATATGTTTTAATCAAACACATATAAAAATAAAAAATCACGCTAACAAGTTGAATTATTATTATTTCTATTGTCGACACATTTACACAAAATAATTACACGCAAACATACAACAATGCGAAAGGGCTCTACAAGCCCCAACTCCATATAAAAGTTAGAGTGCAGGCTTACGATGCTTCCTAGCTCTGCTCAAAAACACATTTAGCGACGAAATTGGCACAAAGTGACGCGAAAGTCTGCGCCACATCTTGGGAGATTATAGTAGTGATTAATGGTGCCTTCTAGCTTATTAAAGCACTAATTATTTGTTAACATAATAATTCCAAGACTAAATTAATAAACTCATTGAGTTACCTTGGAAGATCACACCCATTAGGCTGCCACCTCCAATTCTTATAGAAAGAATCAAGTCTCCCATTTCTTTGGCAAGTAACCTGTTTGACCAAATAAGGGCAACTCTCTTCCGTATAAAGAGGATACGACACATTATCCCAAACCCATTTGCCTTCAAAAACATCGCAACTTTCATCAATGCGATCCTCAGCAGAAACGACAACAACTTCCGGCCTGTCCTTCTCGCGCCTGCCGTATTGCTTGAAGACATAGCTGTCGTTGCTCTTCAAGCTGTCGAGGACCAGCCTCGCGGTTCCCAAGACAAGAATCGACGACAGCGCGAGAGGGAAGAGATATTGGATTCGCCGGTCAAGAGAGGCGGCCGGCGGGCGCTTCATCTTGAAATTGATGCTGATGTTGTCGTGTCTTTGTTTGACAGTTAAACACATTTTTTTTTTTTTGTGGGAAAGTAATGGTGCTTTGAAGGGTCTTTTGCTTGAGTTCTACGTGTGTTGAGTAAAACCATGCAACAACCAGTTGGTGGGGGGATCAAGTTTTAGTAGGTGTTTGTCTTGCGTTGAACTCTTTTGTGTACTATTTTATAATGTTGATCCTGGTAATTTGTTAAAAGAGTGAAATTAAGGGGAAACTTTTCTCCATCACATTTTTTTTTCTTTCCCTAGTAAAAATAAGGTTAAATAGCTAGAGCTTGAATTTAATTCTCTACGCCCTTTATTGCTTATTATCAAACGTGCTTTTTCTTTTTGTTTTTCTTTTAAATGAAAAATTTATTGCTATAGATGCTACCTGGTATTAGTTATTCTGTAATAAGTCATATATATATATATATATATATTTATATATCGTCTTAGGTCATGTCACTTGGCATATAATATGCTAAACAATAAGCCGGGTGTCCATAGAACTAATTTATCAAACCAAACCGATTACCACTAATGAGTTGGTGCAACATTCTTTTTACCGATTTGAGTTTTGCTATAGTAAAAAGCTTTCAGAATCAGTTATATCTAACTTTTTTGCTAGAGTAAAAAGCTCTCACATAAAGTCACATCTCAACTTGAATCAATAAACTAAACGGGCCCTAAAAATACATTTCTTTTTTCAAAAATAGTAGAAAATAGACCAATATGAAAAACTTAAGAAAGTATATAGGCCAACTTTTAGTTATAAAAATTAATAGGCCATAACTTATCAAGTTATGGTCCATAACCAAATAAGTTATGGACAAACTTATCAAGTTATGTTCATAGCCAGATAAGTTATGGACAAAAATCGTGAATTATGGACAATAACTTATCAAGTTATAATTCATAACCAGACAAGTTATAGATGAAAACAATAATTTGACATATTTATTAACTTATGTAAACTATTGACCTATTAATTTTAATTCATCTCAAGTCTTGGCCTATTTAATCTTTTTCTCTTCTTTTTTTTTCCTTTCAAAATGCACCCACATTAGGATCCTATGTAACATTGGGTTTATCTCATTGTGCCTCAAAGTTCAAGTAGCAAAATGGTGGTAATCCCAGAGTTCATCGTACAAAGTGATCATGATTCTAAAGGGTTGTTTGTTTGATGGGTTTAAATTCATGATTTTGATTATACTGTAGTGTTTTTCTCTTAAAAAAATTTAAATTTATCAAGAATTACTGGTTTGAACCCATAAACTAAAATGACTTTAAAATTTAGAGATATAGGTGTGAATAACCAAAATGAAAAAAAAGATATATCCTATTTGAATACATGTATATATATATATATTTTCTTTTACCTTATGAAAAAAAGTCTCAAATTTTTTTATCCTATTAAATAATGAAAAACTTCACCGTACATCTCTATTTATGATCCACCAATAAAATAAGTATTTTTAACCATTAAATTAAATTATTAACTGTTAAATTTATACAATTCATATTAAAAATTTATAACGCACTATAAAAAAATATTTTTATTATAAATTTAACTGTTAAAAAATTAATTTAATAATAAAAATATTTGCACTACGGTCGGTCACAATTTACAATTTTAGTATACTTTGTAAAGAAAATAGTTCTATTACACAAACAAAAATATAAAAAAAAATTGCCCGAACAAAAATGTAAAATATGTAGAAATATCAGAAATATCTGTCTCCTAAAAATCTAATACTTTATTTCCCAACTCAAAGGCCTCAGCTACATCCACTTTGCAGTTTGAGCCGAAAAACCAAAACAAAAGCAGACAAAATCACATTTCCATTCCAATTCAAAACTCTCTCTCTCTCTCTCTCTCTACAAATGATAATCGGCAGCGCAGCGTGCGGTGGCGTCCGTACGTGCAGCTTGTCGTCGGTAAAGCTCGGGCGGAGCCGGCGGCTTTTCGCTACCAAGTGCTCTGCTGCGGGCCCTACAAGGAAGAAGGAGAAGGAGAAGGTGGTTGTCATATCTGGGCCCACCGGCGCCGGCAAGACTAGACTCGCTTTGGAGCTCGCCAAGCTCCTCAATGGCGAAATCATCAGCGCCGACTCCGTCCAGGTTTTGCTGCATTTTATTTTCCTGTTTGGATTGCGAGAAATTAAGAGTGAAACTTGTAGTGATAGAGCGTATTCTTAGAAAGTTTTTTTGTTTTGGAGAATTAAGTGTAGGAAAGCAACAAAGACAAAAAAAAAAAAAAAACAGGTCTTAATACCGGATGATGTGATTTATTGGTCGTGTACATTTGAGTTTTTGAGTTAAACGGTAATGTTTTTGAGTTTGTATTTGGTGGGTTAAAATTTAAATTTATATTTAAATAATATTTTTATAAAAATTTAATAGTGTAGAAAATTTTAATAAGGTATATGAGTGAGTTTTTATTCGTTTTTTTGTGGTGAATGCATAAAAAAAATTATGTCAATCAGAATTAAAATGAAAAAATTATAACGTTTTTAAGAATATAAAAAATACTATTTATTAACTTGAGTTTGGATTTAAAAACTTGAGTTGAAAAGGAAACTTAAACTCAGATTTTAGCCCTAAACTCAAGTTAATACTCAAATTTTACAAAAGAATATGAACTTAAATAAAATTGTAACTTGAATAAAGTTTTAACTTGAGTTCAAATTTTTTTTTGCGTTTAGGTGCAAAAGAGCAAGCCCTTAATGTTTGACTTGTTAAGTTTAAATTTCCCATTCGTTGAGTTAGTTAACGGTTAAAGTTCAATCATTTTCTTTGTTTAGTTTAACATGACAACTATATTACAAGAGTTAAGTGAATCAACCAGGAAAAAAAAAAGAAACACAAATTGTTGAACGGGCATGAAAAATAATATCTGGGGTTGACAAATTATGTTCAATTCATTTACAGAACTTCTTTTCTTTTTCCCCCCATTTTCAAGTCATATTATTGATTTTACAAGAACATGAATAGTATTCTCAAAAGGAAAATGCTACATATTGGCAAAGTGAAGAACATGTTTTTATTATTATTATTATTATTTTTGTTTTGTTTTGATTTCCCCATTTTTAAGTCATCTTATTAAATTTATAAGAGCAGGACTAGTATTCTCAAAAGGAAAATGTTACATATTGGCCAAGTGAAAGAACATGAAATGATTTTTTTTTTCTTTTTGTTTTGTTTTTGGTCACAGGTGTATCGGGGTCTTGATGTTGGATCCGCCAAGCCCTCCCCAAGTGATAGAAAGGTTCTTGTCTAATTGAGATTTTATAATACGTTTAGCCAATGCTTCTACACAATTGGGATTGACCTTTATATTGCTTTGCATTTACTCTTAGATGTAAGTGCTGTGATTACCAAACATTTTCGATCTTTTTCGTTGCAGGTGGTGCCCCATCATCTCATCGACATACTTCACCCGTCTGAAGGTCTGTTGTAGAACCTACTGATTTAAGATATGGCATGTTGTGTGAATCATTCGTTCACATTTTTGTTGGAGTTGGTCGCCGTAATGAATTAATGAGTCTTGATAGTATTGAAGTCGTGAACTTTGAACTGCTAGGTGTTTGGATGTTTCCGTTGTTCCAATTCAAAATGTATATTTTCTTCTCCAGAGTATTCAGTCGGGCAATTTTTTGAGGATGCGAGGCAAGCTACAAGATCTATTCTTGATAGTGGCCGTGTTCCCATTGTTACTGGTGGGACTGGTCTGTACTTGAGATGGTACGTTTTTCTGTAAGCCCTTTTGTCTAAATATCAATTAACTTTTAACCATTCATTTGTGCTTTTATTTTTCTGAGAAAATCAAAACATAAATTGTCTCTTTTATGTCATCAGCTGTTTCGTTACCTTGTAATGAATTTGTGTGTCTTTTGCTTGTCGAAGCTGAATATGAATTACAAATCGTCATTTCTGAATATCCCTGTGTTTTAACAACAAAAGGGGGAAAAAAAAACCCTTCATATCTGAGTGTTAGTGGTGTTTCTGGATGTTTGATTTTTAATCAGCTACATTAGTAAACTTTGTAAAAGGATTCTGCTATAAGAAAAAGACATGATCTTGAATTAAAATTTTAGAAACATGAAGACTTAAATGTAATATGAAAAATAGTAATGGAAATTTTGAATCCACCGTTTTATTGTGGTGCAGCTGCTGTTTAATATTATGTCGGTGTATTTCCAGGTCGTCAATTGAATTCACTACATCGTAGCTTATAAAACTATTACAAAGAATGAAATTGTTTCCCTTTAAAACAACAAGATCATCAGGCTTTTCCTTGGCTGATTCGATACAGTTTTGTTTCTTGTTGTAAGGTTCATATATGGAAAACCTGATGTCCCCAAAGCCTCTTATGAGGTGGCTGCCGAAGTGTACTCGGAGCTAGCTGATTTACAGAAAAATGAAGACTGGGATGCAGCAGTTCAGTTGGTTGTCAAAGCTGGTGACCCTAAGGCCCAGTTTTTGGCTGCCAATGATTGGTACCGGCTTCGGCGCAGCCTTGAGATCATTAAGGTTAGCTTGTGGTCATTTTTCAGTTATTTGCAAATCTTCATGGATCTTTATTTATCTTGTGCCTTCCACTATCTCTCTTGTATCTCTTCTTTCTTCCCATGATGCAAAACCATTTAACTTGCAGTTGAGTTGGGTTTGCCATGATTTTATCAAGCATTTACTCATACCAAATTCTATTACCTACTTTTTTTTTTTTTTTTTTTTTTTTTTTTTTTTTTTTTTGGGGGGGTGTGATTGTGTGTGTGTGTGATTTCTATAAGATTTATGAATATAATTTCATGTTTGTGTTTGACTTTGTTCATTATCCATGGAAGGACAGTCTAGTGGAGCACCTCCATCTGCATTTCAAGTACCCTACGATTCTTTCAGGAAACAACATGATTCTACAGAAGCAAATGGCTCCCATGACATCAACTCTTCTGTTGATGTAGTTGGGGATGTAAAGTCAAAGGACTTGGAATATGACTTCTATTGTTTTTTCCTCTCTAGTCAGAGGCTCGAACTCTATAAATCAATTAGTTATCGTTGTGAGGACATGCTGTTAGGTAATCATATTTTTATACATCCTCAATGAGTACTTTTCTGTTCGCTTTGTTTTAGATTAGCTGATTATCTAAAATGATATGTAATCAAAAAACTGAAGGCTGCGAAAAGTGATGGGATCAGTTTCTCCCGACTGTATGGACATCATACTTCAAGCTTTCGCTCATGGATTGTCAGTGCCTTAGGAATATATATGACTTTCTATTCCTTAAAAGTTAAGCTAGATTTTCCCTTGCAACACAATTTTGTTCTCATGTATGTTGAGCACCTTGTGAAGTCGGCTAAATTTTACTAGAGGGTCCATTTATGTTCTTTCATATTTTACTATTAAATTAATGCTTATTCAAAGAGATATGAATGTGTTCCTTTCTATATTTTGGTTACCATATGGTTATTTGAATTTCCTGTTACATTCGTTGTTTATTCATTGGAAAGTTTCTCTAAGAATTTGGTGGGAAGATTATAATTGTATGATAATTCACTACGAAGATCATTTTAAGGAAATATATAACTTCACTCTTTGTACTTTGATTTATGTTACGCATTGAGTATTAGACTGCTGCTTTATTATTTGACTATTTAGAAATTAAATATATTTATTCTTTTTGGTCTATTTTCACTGCAGGAGATGATGGCATTTTGACTGAGGCTAGATGGCTTCTTGATATAGGCCTTCTTCCAAATTCGAATTCAGCTACCCGAGCAATTGGTTATAGACAAGTATGCCTTTGTTCGATGTATTTCATCCCAATTATTCCTTATAAGGCTAGAACAACTTGATATTTTACTTGTATTTTTAATATGCTAGTATAATTTTCTTTATGATGTAGGTATAATGGTAAGATTCATTTGGTTCATGTGATTTACCACTTTCAGGCTATGGAGTATTTACTGATGTGTAGGGAAGAGTTCTCCTGGAGAGTTTTATTCTTTTTTATCTGAATTTCAGAAAGCATCTAGGTATTACATCTCTTGTCAGAGTTGTCCATATGAATACATTTTGAGCATGGATATTGTTTGCTTAGGGTATGTTTGTTTCACAACTCAAGTTAACTTGAGTTGTGTATGTGAGAGAAAAACACTATAGCAAAAAAGTTGAATTTGAATTTTTGTGAGAGAAAATACCGTAGCAATAGAACTTGAGTTGTAACTTGTTGTGAATAGAGGCCTTTGTTTCTTAAGATATACAAATCGGAAGAATATTTCTTTGAGAAGCATGAATTAGCTAATCAAAAGTGTATTGATATTGAATATGCAATTTTAGTTTTGGCGAACAGATTAAACGGAGACTAGTAAAAGCATCTGGCAATAAAATGAGGATAGCCAACAATCTTCTTTCTTTACAAGGCTTCATTGAGAGTTGTATCATGACGTACAGTTTTTGTTTTGGTCTTCCCAGAAATTTAGTAGTGATTGGATTAGCTTTATGAACAAATCTTTGTATCACATAATTCAGCGTAGATGGTGAAGGATAAAAATTTGTGCTGCATATTAGTTAATACTCCTGCATTTGTTCAATGTTTACAACTTACAAGTTATGATTTGTACAGAAATTTTGCAAAACGGCAGTTGACTTGGTTTCGTAATGAGAAAATATATCACTGGCTTGATGCTTCTAAACCCTTGGTATGCCCTTAAAATTTTGTTTCCGACTCTCGTAACTTTACTGATTTCTCTGCATCTTCTCAGTGATACTGTTAGAACATGCTAATTTATTTCCGCATTATTATTTTGACTTTCCTCTAAAATTTGTTATTTATAGTTATACTTTTACTTAATAGTTAATTGCTGATGTATATGATTCCAATTTAGATACTGGTCGATATGTTTAGCAAAAGTAAGATACCAGTCCCTTTCTTACCACACTTTTGGTTCAGGCAGGCTATGCAACACTACTGAACTAATCTATCTTTTTTTATCTTTTTTTTTTTATTATTTATATTTTTTTATTTGGTGAATAAACCGGCCCTCAAAATATTTAACAAGCATAGTGAGCATGCTGGAATTGTAGGGCGTCATGATCGTTTTCCATACGCACCCTTCTGTTGTAATAATCACACTGGTGAACTGAGAAACTTTGTAAATTAGACAGTAAACTGAGCGTTTTCAAAGCTCTATCATCTCTAAAGCGTGCAAAAGTAGTTATAACTAATTTTATAACTATGACTCTTTAGTTGTTTGTCTTTATTCAGCTTGTTCAAAATTCTTATGGCCATCTTTTTTGCAGGATAAGGTTCTTAACTTTATTTATAATGCATACCTTGACAAAAGTGAAACTTTGGTAGTACCGGAATGGCTAAAAATGAGGAAAGACACAAATCACCGAGAAGCCTCTTTACTAAAGGCCTATCGAACTAGAAACAGGTACGGTTTTGGGATGGGGGGAATTTATTCCTTGGTTCTTTTACATTGCTGGTAAGTTAAAATTCTGTTTACATTTGCAGGCATTTTGTTAGACGTGAAGATTGTTCGGAGATTTTGGAGTGGATAAGGAAGACACAATGCGAAACAATGAGCAAAGTATAATCATTCCCTACAATTTGGGTATAATTTCGGCCTAAAAATCGGAAACTATTATGGAGCAACATCTGAGTTATGTTGAAGGTTAGTGGTTGTGGCAGCGGCTTTATTTTATGACTCCTTAAGTATTGGCATAAAATCAAGCAGCGGCTGTTATTTTACTGAAACCTAGTGGAGGGCAGTGTTGCGTCGTATCAAATTCGAGTTAAATTTTCTACAACTCATAGCAGTGTATAATACTACGATTGACAGTTTCATTTTTCGACTTGTTCTGCAAGTCGGTAGCCTAGAACAATCAACTTTACTCTGTTCCTGAGTTTTGTTTTCATCCTTTTTCCCGCTTGAAAAGATTGTACCGAAGTTCAAACTCAAACTCAAACTGCATGTGTAGAAGGCTAATGGACCTCATCATCGAAATTTTTAGAAGCGTACAAAATATCAATTTAATGATGGTTAATATGGCTACCATCAAGCTAACTTTGAAGGTACAAAATATCAATTTAACTACTTTTGAAGGTAATTTTGTTTTTTAATTAATTTTGGTTTAGATGATGACTAGAGTTTAGGGAAAAGATTAAATAAATAGCCTTTGCACACTTGCAGATTTGCCCTAACCTATTTAGCATTGTAAGTCAAGTTGGTGCAATCTGTGTTATTGTTTTTTATTTTTTTATTTTTTTTTCTCTGTTTCTTTATTAAAATGAAACGTCATGGTTCTTGTTGCGTTGCACCTAAAGGTGAACCAGCTTTTGAAGTTATCGACATGGTTTGTGAGGCTATGGTGTGTTTGGAGAGAGAAAAAAAGATTCCTGAAAAAATCATTATGCTTTAGCAATCCGCTTTTGGAATTAAATGGATATGCTTTTGACAGTTACAAGGGAATGAGTTCTTTCTCAATCATTTTTGAGAGGCCTAAAAGATGATAAGGAATGGTTTTGTTTGAACAAGAAGGGGAAAAATTGGTGAAAGAATAATCTTTTTCGCTCAACTCTTTCCACTCAATAACTCCTCCTTTTGTTGCTTTTACATACTTTTGTATTCCTCATTTACACATTTGGTTAAAGAAATGACATTTTCTAATCAATACCTTATTAACTGTATTTTTATTTTAAAAAGTATTAGCTTTTTTTTTTTTTTTTCTAAGGCTCATTTAATTTATAAGTTTAAATTAGTGATTTTTGATTTTAACATTTAAAATTTAAATTTTTTATGAAAAAAATACTTTAGACGAATTAAAAATATGAGTTTAAATGCAGACACAAACGAACATTTAAAATTTTTAATAATCACTATTGACTTCTCAAAATTTTTTTTTTCATAAAAAGAACAATTGACAAGTCAATGGTGAACAGTAAATAGGAGAATAAATGCATTTTGACCTTTAAGAAAAGTATAAAAGCTAACCAAAAAAAAAAAAGAAATGGATCCATGTACTTAAAATAATGGGCCTGTTTGTTTGCGTTTTCGTTTTCATTTTTCATGGTTTTCAAAGCAAAAAAATGAAAACGGGTGTTAAAAACGTGTTTGGTGCAATTTTTTTAAAAAAACAAAACCAAAAACGTTTTTGTCTTTTTGTGGAAATCAGAAAACGAAAAAAATGTGTTTTCATTTTCTCGTTTTCGTTTTCTGTTTTCTGAAAAACGGATTTCACTTTTTTTTTTCTTTTTCATTTTCTTCCCTCTTTTCTGAAACCGTTTTTGTATTATATATGTTTATTTAATATATTTATTTAATATATTATTATTTAATATATTTAATAATATTATTTATATAATATATTTAATAATATTATTTATTTAATATATTATTATTTAATATATTTAATAATATTATTTA